CAGCTTTAAAAAAAAAATCTCTATAGGTGTGGGGGATAAGTTAACAAATTGGATAGAAGAGTAGCTAGATGGAAGAAAGCAGAAGGTTGTTACAAATGGAGTTTAGTCAAACTGGATTAATGTCACAAGTGGGGTACCTCAGAGCTCAGTTGTAGGACCTTTGCTCTTTTTGATATTAATGAAGGAACAGTCAATAATATACTTAAATTGGCAGATGATATTACGGTCTTTGGTATTGCTAGCTGTGAAGAGGATGCTGCTGATTTACAAAAAGATTTAGTTCAATTTACAAAAGGCTGAAATCTCTCAATTTGTTTTCTCTTGAAAAAAAAAGAGTTAGGGAGGATCTGATTGAGGTGTTTAAGATTGTAAAGGGAATTGATAGTGTTGATGTATCATCTTTTTGTATATTTAACAATAAGAATAGTAGGACTAGGGGACACAAATATAAGTTTTTGCAAAGTAGGAGTCATCTTCAGCTAAGACAGTTTTATTCTTCTACCAGGGTGGTTGGCCGTTGGAATGGGTTGCCTTCAGATGTTGTAGAGGCAGTAAATTCTTAAACTCACTTAAAAAAGCTTGATAAGTATATGAATGAAAAGGGCTGGGTTGAATATTTTTTTTTTTTTCAATCATTTTAATTTAGTTTTCAGGATGGAACAGCCGAGATGGACCAATAGGTCCCATGTTATCCCAAAATATTATGTTATATGTTATGTTATTGCATGATATTTTGGATGTCATAGAATGTTTTTTTTTATGAAAAAATATTCTGCCATAATTGTTAATTTTTTTGGAAAGCTTAATTATTTTAAGTTATAAATATTTTATGGTGTTTGAATAACTTAAACACTAGAACCATACATTTCTAATGATTTTGCACACATAAACTACACTGTTGAATATTACACTTAAAATGACTTTGGAAAGTATTATTAGTCATTTAGTAAACTAGAATTCCTATGCACAAGTTTCAGTGTAGTGTGTTTTACTAAGAATAAAAACTGTTGGCTTTAGAAATATTAACAGAAATTCATTATTTTCAATGGGCTGTTATTGTGAGCTTGCTCAAACACAAGTAGACCATGTTAGGTTCATATTCTAGAAATTACTCCAAATATGTGTAAGTCCAGAAACAAAGTTCTGGAATACTAACTAAAATGAAGGTTAGATGAAGTCCAGTAAAAGATTCCCACATTACAATTATCAACCACAGGTTAGTTAAGCAATCTGTATAAATCCAGATAATCTCCCAGATAACTATTAAAAATAACATGTTAGTTCAGCAATCTGAAGAGGTCCAGAAATAGTCTCCAACACAACTATTATAAACCATAGGTTAGTTAAACAATCTGTACAAATCCAGAAGTAGACTTTCACAGTGTGATTTAACCTTATACCCACGAAAATTGTTTTAGAACTTTTTATCCAGTCCTACAAAAATGGGCAGAGCTGTGAATAAGCTCAACATGATTTTAGAGTAAAAATTGGTTCCTACAAAGACAGGTCTTGGGTGACTGAAGATCAGCCAAAAATCAAATCAGATGAGTTATGAGAAGTTAATATAGTTTGCTAAAAGAAACAATAATAGATAAGCAACCAATAATTTGTAAACATAAAGAAGTTTTCTTGATGGTGAAACATACTACATGTTTTGACAGAATATTGATCTGTCTTCTCCTGAATATCACAAACTTGAGAGGGAAAAGTAGAAAATGAATATGAAGTACTGGAATGCACAGTTAATTATAAAAAAACATTCACAAACCCAATATCAGGAGAAATAAAAGATTTAAGTACTGGAATCATCTCAACTGACAAAAGCACCCTCAGGTATAACGGAAATAGGTTTAACATTGAAAACAAATAACATATATGAGAGAAACAGAAACGAGACTAGCAAGAAGTGTAACATAAATTCAGCTCTGCTCTGCAGCATCTGAAGGCAATTAAACATGAACAAAAAATCAGCCTTCAACAAAAACAAAAATGGCAAGTGTTATGCATATTAAGTGTCCACACTATCATTATACTGGCTAAAAATAAAGTATACAATGACACAAATAAGTTGAACAATTAGGGCTAACAATGCAGTAACAATTTTACAATAGGCAAATTGTAGGCCTATAACTAAGTTACATAAATTCTAGTAGTGGCAGAAAAAGCTGCATCAGGAAGAATGCCATAGCAAAGCTAACATAATTGTAGGTGGTATGGTGGTGATTTATGAGTGCTGTCATTGCATAAAGGATATTTGGAAAATGTTAATCACATTTTGTTGACAGCACGAGTTCAAGCTCAAGAAGGTTTCCAGTATTCCAAGAGGTAAATCTACCTAATGTGAATTGGTGTCAATCTGCGAAATTAATTGCAAGTCCAGAAATAATAAGAAATATTTACACTGCTATTACAATAGAGTGAAAACTGCATGCAGAATTTAAAAATGAAAAGTGAACAAATGAAGTGGCTAACATTTAATCCACTCTATCTGGCAATTACATTGCTTAAATCTGTGAAAAATAAAATGTTAGTTAGTGATTAAATCTCTGGAAAATAAAATGTTAGTCATGCCATTTTACAACACTGCTATTTTCTAATTAAATATAAAAAAATAGTGGTTACTAGATTTCTCAATAAATGGAAGGATTTGAAAAATAAAACAATTTTTTATCAGAAGGACGGAATATATCTGTGGTTCAACAACTACCTGAATATGGTATAAGAAATGTTCAAAATCAATCTTATGTAACCCTAATATAAGATCATGATGGATTAATAGCATGAGCTGTATCTCTCTTGGTATGTTGTTATTTGGTGTCAATACATTTACTTTGAAAAAAATTAACAGATGCACAGGATGCAATGATCTAGATCTGAACAGACAAAAAAAAAACAAAATAAGATAATTTAAATGCACATAATAGGTAACAAAATGTTAATATATACATTTTTCTTCACCAACAATGTGAATTTTTTCATGTATTTATAATTTTATAGGTAAATTCATATATAAAAGGTGTTCATGTTAACGAGTTTATGGATGCTTTAAAGACATGGACTCTAAAGTAGACTTTAAAGACTATATTCTAATTTGGTTCAAAATGAGTAATAAATCTTCAGAAATGAATTCTGTGTTAAAATAAAACAATATTTGGTTGAAAACAAACTATTTTACAGTTATTAAAATATATTACTGCTTTGAATAAGGCATTATGTATATTTTCTGCCCAAGTATGGCCTATGTAATTGACGAAGAGTGTTATTTCCTGAAAGCAGTGTGGACCAAAACAATATATATATACACACACATAAATAATTGCCTCACCAGAAATTGGTGAAGAATTTTGTGGTAACATTAGGCTACATTCTTAATCAGGTAAGACTGTACCTTTTTGTTTCCTTTTAGCAGAGTGAGAGACAATCCTTCCATTGTGGATTTGAATGGTTATACTTTCTTGCCCTGAAAAGAATACCCAGATATTTCACATATAATTAAGCTTAAAAAAAGAAGAGAAAAAGCAAAAAAAAATAACTAAAAATGTGTATAAGAACTGTAAAAATGGTATTTATGAGAACAATATTCAGTGACAGATTGCCTGGTTGCATTGTCATACTAAAACAACTATTCTGCACATTAACCTTAAAATGATCAGTTCACGCTTGCTCATTGAATAGCCAGTATGTTAAAGATTTTTCCCACTACAACAATGATAACTGGCAGCTCATTTGTTGAAGAACATTCCACTAACAATTCATCATCCACTTCGGAAAAACACAAACTTGAATTACTGTAAGGTTCTGTTTTATTAATAAATGCTTTGAGATTCACGTGAGTTAAACTGTTATTTAGTGCATTTATTTTTAGGCTGCTACTCACAAAAAATCCTTCACATACAGAAAAAAGTTATTCATATAATATTGGCTAAAAAATAAAATATTTAGAACTTATTACAATAATAAAAGAGCATAATATCATGAACAACAGCCCAAAAGCAAAACAAAATGGTACAAGCTAACATAGACTTGAAATTATAGGAACTCGTTTGACACATTTGTGCCCTCTTTTGACAGTGTGAGATTGAAGAAGGTGCACAAAATGGGTAAAAACTGGCTTTTTCTAATTTTGAGTCCCTTTAGTTATTATCCACAATTCTGGTGTTTTTGCCATATAGAATATAGAACTTTTACATTCTGAATAACAGTACCTATGCTCTAATACATCACTGCCACATAATTTTGCAAAAACCTGAGACACCCTTTTTTAACGACTCTTTAAATGGTATTTATGGATATGGCACCTTAAACAAGTGAAATACAATTTATTATCCAGTAGTTAGTCTTTATTAACATACATTTCTGAAAACATTAAATTACACTAAATATCCACTCATAACACGCACAAACTTGACTATGATCAAACCTACAACCATAATCTAGTCCTAAAAGCTTAGAATCCTCATGAATGTTTCTAAGGTGTCATGTATTTTGCTAAGAAATATAAATATGTTTTCACCTCCATTATAATACAAAATTAAATGTCTGTTGTAGGATTTTACAAAATAACAGGTTCACAAATGTTACACATTATGTGAGCTTAAGAGTTGTGTTTCAAATTTTAAATTTATCAATAAGAAGGTGGCAGCAAGTAAAAAACAAGTTGGCTCACAAAGGGTATAAGGGATAAAATAAACAAGAAAGGCATTATATATACGTTTAAATTGACTGCAATGATGGGAGATTTGGATGGTTATAGAAGATCAAGGGAATTAGTCAAATAGGAAATAATGAAATAAAAAACTATATGGAAAAAAGCTTGGCTGGAAATGTGAAAATTAATAGTAAGATTTCCTAAGTACACTAATCCTTTCACTGCAATGTTAGATTTCAGGGGCATTCCTCAAAAGTTGTTAATTCTCCATCAACAAATAAGTCTTAGTTTGACCTCTTTTATTACTTTTTCAACTTGAAATGACCATAAAATATGCATATATGGTATTAAAATTTCTTGAAAAGAATATCAAATAATGGAAATTTAGATTTTCAACAAGAAAATGTGCAAAAGTTATTGAAAAGGTTCTTAGATATATAACAGTAAACAGACCAATATGATTCAACAGGAGGCAAAATTTATTCCAAACACATGAAATTGCATTATGTATATATAATATTATCATAACTCCTAAAAATCATATACTATATATATATATATATGTCAGTATTGATGCAAAATCACACACATATAATTTAATGTACTTTCATCATCTGGTTTGGTGTTATGTAGAGTAAACAAAACAATACAATAATGAAATTTGTATTTTTTACTTTTGCAGTTAAGTACAATACAAAAACATAACAAACTTACCTAAATTATTGTGAAATTACAGTAGAAATGTATGCAAAGCTGAGGTATAGGCTAGTAATGAGCAATTGGCTAACCAGTTAGTCGATAAATAAACAAGTGTTAGTTTTACAAAGTAAATAAAGTGCACCTTTGCCTCTAATGAGTAATTAGACAAAGTTGAGTGATAAAACAATTTATTAATTGACTAAAATCAACTAAATTACTAACCTATTGCCCATCACTAGTGTAGGCGGCATGGGTGGATCAGTAAAGTCTTGTTTATGTTTACCCATGTCATTCACAGATGGCAGCACAAAAGAATGTTTGGTAGCCATTTCAAGACCAGGGAATTTCTATTGATTGTCACAGTAAAAAGAAAAATCTTTGGGTGCCGTGGAGAAAAAAAAGTTGATTTTCACACTTAATAATAATAATGTTGCGTCAGCGAGATCACGTGACTATTCTCACGCCCTCTGCTTTCTAGAACTATCGTGTACCTTGGCGAATGCTCTA